GACATTGAGATGTATCCGTGTGAGATACACCACTGGATAGAGCTCGACGAGTTCTATGTGATGAACTATTGATCTCTTTTGGCACAGATTTGAGAGCGAATATTTTCGAGAAATACTGTGAGAAACCACCCAAAAGCGAGTTTTTGAAATATTTTGTACGATTGACATTGAGATGTATCCGTGTGAGATACAACTTTGGATAGAGCTCGACGACTTCTATCTGGCACATCTAAAATTTACGGTGGTACAGTTCTGAGTGCGAATGTTGTGTTAAAATGTGGAGTTTTATGTATTTTGTCCGTTGGAAAAATCGATACTTTGCTTTTTAACAGTATTTTGGATATAAACATGAAACCTGAACATGTCAGCGGATTGAGAATTCTACGTTGTATCTGGCACAGTAATGGTCGAAGTTGGCACAGTTGTCAGACTGAATGCTTTTGTAAAATAGTCGAATCTGCTGCTAACTTCCCCTACGTGAGCAATGAAGCTGTTTTAAGCCATAAAACTGTAGGAATTAAAAGGATTAGATTGATTTTGACCTAAAAACGATACTATAACACATATACTTATCTAACTTGTGATTGGTTCTTTTATATTATATGTGATATTTTATGGATCATAACTGTTGATGATTTTTTCGACCGCAAAAAAGGCAGAGAATTCGTTTTTGTGCTATCTTGCCTTCATCTGTATCATTTCAAAGATTCAATTCATGCAACTGAGTAAAGAGTAGTGAACTCAAAAACGTTTCTTAAGTGTAGAAAAATTGGAAATTTGCTTCGTTAGCCATTCTGAGTAACAAAAGGCGGTGTTCTTTCTTAGAGAATGCATTAATCTCAGCAGTTTTCTGATGTATAAGGCTTAATTAAACATGTTAATTGTGTGAAAATCTCAGAATAAAGATCCACAGAAGTGCGAAAAGAATAAAAAGATTGATGTCTAACTGAGCGTAAATGATTTTCCTTGATTGCATCATGTTCCTGCAGGTAAAACATCATGTGATTAAGCCAATAACTTGATTACCGCAGTTCTTCAAAAGTGTAAAGGGGTGAGAACTGTAAAGAAGTTCTCCAAAAAAGTCTTAATCAAACGATAAAAGTTCATGTTGGACAGAGTGCCCGAATCTCCTTATTTAACCAGGAGACTCCTTATTTTTAGACTTTTCTCCTCATGAAAAATCTTCTGATTTCATTTTTTCATCTTCATTTCAGATTTTTCATCTTCCGATTTCAGGAGCTGATTTTGAAGATTTTCTCCTAATTTTCAATTGTTTTCCTGCATCGATTTTTCTAAAACCGAGATTATCAGTGTCATAAACAAAATTTCTGGACCAAGAATCTAAATCATTGTACATTGAAAGAGTCTGCTGTATGCTTATCGAATGTTCTCATCAAAAGAAGATGAGATTAGTGAACTTCCAACTTCATTGAATCAAAATCTGCTTCCTCAATGCGTACTGCAATCTGTATGAAATGATAATACTGTTTCGTCAAAAAATATTCCGAAAAAAATTGTTTTTTGAAAAATCTGTTGCATTTTTTTGTTTTGCCTGCCCAAGAAAAAACTGCTCGATACTCATGTTTCGCTTCCGATTTCGAAATAAAATCTCCTGATTTTTAACGAAAAACTCTTGATTTCGACAAATTGGATTTGGGCACCCTGATCCCGGGGTTTGCAAAGGTTACGTAACGTTTTCTCAGGCTACTTTCAGCATGTTTTACCCGGTTTTTCCTTCGGGAACATGATGCAAGTAAGCTTTTTGTTCACTGAGGGCTTAGTTAGAGAGTGAGCTGAAAGAAAATACAGAGTAATTTTATTTATTTCCGTTTCGCATGCAGAAAATCCTCTTTTATATCACAAGTGTGCTCATGTTCTTTTATGTAACTCTATACTTATTATGGTACAGCACATTGGAAAATAGTATTCCATATAATAGACAGTGATAACATCTATGAAACAGAAATTCTTAAAAGAAAAGAAAAACAGGTATCGATATATTTTCTCACTAAATGATATAAATCAATGAAAAGATGATAAGTTAGCGATGCACATAGTCAACCTTTCAATTGCAGACCGATTTCTCTGTTTTGATTGACAGATTTTTCTACGAACTGGATATCAGAAAATCGATCAATCAAATTTGTTCTTTTCCTTTTTTACATTTGTAAGGGCGGCCATTTTTGACGGAAAAACTTGACGGCTAGCGGGAAACCACCGAATAAATCCTTACGCTACGGAACACTGAACATTTTGAAAGTGAAATTCAAACATTGGGTTTGAATGTATGGTTGCTCATACACTTTTAATAGCTCTAGTACTGTGGAGCTTACACCGTAGTGATACAATAGTTCAATCAGAATATTTAAATGTGCTCTACATCGGTCAATGTCTATATTCAAAGAACTTAACGTACAACAAAAATCCAAATCAAAACATGAAAATCTGGAATAAAGTTTTTTTCGAAGTAAAACTATAATATACCTATGCAGCAAGAATATGATAACTTAAAGTTTACAACACATTAAAATAGTCAATATCTATATAAATGTTCTCTATTAATGTTTATGATCGGCAGCTTTACAATCAGCTTTGCAAGCATGCTCTTGTGCTTTTGCTTCATGTTTTGCTGCGCAATGTGCAGCATCCATTCGTGTTGATGGTTTCTCATTTGGATCATTGGCTTTTTTCAACGCATCTTCAGCTTTTTTATCATGAATAACTTCTTGAGCTTTGTGGGCACCAGCTTTTAATGCATCCATTATTAATATTTCTGGTAGAAATGAGATACTAAAGTAGAAAAAAAAGTTCGATCATAGTTCAACCATTTTGTTATTCTTCTCTTGCAGTTAAGGTAGTTAGACTGAAAGAAAGTAAGAAAACTGAGTAATGTGTGTAGAAAAAAGAGAAGAAAAAGGAACGAGTTCAACTTAAGTTTGTCATTCGTTTTCTTTTTGTGCGCAAAAAGAAAGAATGGGAATGGTTGACAGTAAAATGTTAATTCGAATTATGACACTGAGGCATAAAAGAACTTCGTTTAGTGTTTCGAAAACACTAAATGAAGTTTTTATGCTTCAGTTCTTTACATTTGTTATAAAACAAAATGAATGGGCAGAGAAAGGACCGATAGCTAGTATATACATTACGGAACAAATTATAAAAAGTTCAACATTTGTTTGGGTTTTCTATTCTACGTTTGAAAATTTTATATCCATCCTACTAAAAGTGCTTTGCAGGAGAGAATACGTTTTAGACAAGAAGTTTTATTCTATCTTGAGATATTCTCATACTGTATTAGTGATCAAACTCCATAGGCCAAATTATCTATCATTTTCATCCAATTCTCAGTTCCTAAGAAAGCAAGATTTTCAAAGTAATATATACTTTAGTTACAAACTTTTATATAAAAAACAAACCAATCTTAAAACATTCTCGAACCGAACGGATACGGATATCTATTTGAAACGTATCATGAATCTCTGATATTTATGTGTAAATAAAAGGCATAAGATTAATCATGAAGTTTGTTACACTTACCGCTTATATAGAGAGTTGATTCTCGTCTTCTGCTCCTCTGATTTATGTTTGAATGAGAGTTTGCGATAATAAATCAGTCTATTTTATATTCATATGATAGTACAGATAGAAAAGAAAATAGTGAGAGATAGAAAAAAAGTGACAGATGAAACGCGGTTAATCTATTTTTTTTTTATATATTTTTATAAATTTTCTCTTTCATTTATTATTTCTAACATTTTTTTGTCTTCCCGTTTTTTTGTCGATGCATTTAATTCAAAGAAGAAGACATGTTACAAACATAGTGGAATATGTCTTGTTAGTGTGAAGAAAAGTTGAACGTCATATATATTGTTCAGACTGAACAGCACTAAGAAAAAGATACACTTCAGTGACGTATTTTCTCTAATACAAGAAAGACTCAAAAAAGATGCTTTTGAATACCCCGATTATAATGAACCACCAACTTCTTCATCAAGAAAAATAGAGCTGTTCATCTATATTCATGCATGAAGCAGTTGTTACTTTTTTAAGACGTCCTTTAGTCACGTTTATCCAATAGCTAAAATGTATTTTATGGAATATTTCTTATAAATTGAATAGCATCGCTAATCCAAGGGAATGCTTACAAAAATATTGTTTCAATCTGACCTGAAAAGGACAGATATAATTTGTTATGTAATGTGTAATATGGCTTTAGTATAACATAATGTAACCGGCTGCCCTAGTCGATCGATCTTACGGCAATTCTATAGAAATCTTATAAGAATCTTATAAGAATCTTATAAGAATCTTATATAAGGCAGTCGATGGAAATGCGTAATTTATTGATAAGAATCTTATAAGATTCTGATAAGAATTCGGTAAGATAGATTATATAATTATTTTATAAGAATTCATAAGATTTTGGTAAGAATTCATAAGATTCTGATAAGAATCTTATAGGATGGGTATAGTACAATTTCATCTCATTCTTTAGTGATCAATACTTTATATTCTACTTTCTTACTATAATCTACTGTTTCATACGTGAATAAAATAATTTTCTTTCCACTTATTTAATTTTTCTACAATAAGACCTTAGTCCCACACGGACAGTCTCATG